AACACCTTGTACGGAGGAAAAGAACAGCTTGTGAAAACATGCAAATTCCACTACATGGCATTGGGCCAAAGGGCGAAAGCTCATGCGCCGCTGGATCGATAACAACAACAACCAGCTCAAGCAGAAAGTTTTGTTTATTCATCCACTTCTGGACTTAAGTCTTCTTCCCTATTTTTTTAAATTCTGGACTTTAGTCTTGTTCCTTATTTTTTATTCTGGACCTTAGTCTTGTTCCATATTTTTTTATTCTGGACTTTAGTCTTGTTCCATATTTTTTTTATTCTGGACCTTAGTCTTGTTTCTAATTTTTAAAATTGTCTTCCCTATACCATTTGGCTAAGCCTATCAGGTTTTTAACTCTTTGTCTTCCCCTTATTCCCTTGAGACTCCTGCTACTCATACAGGTCCTACAGCTGGACCAGCTGGTAAGTAATCATCAGTGCAAACGGGAAGAAGCATGGTCAGAGCTGATATCATCATCGCTATAGGAACTCGGTTGGAGGATAATGGCGAATCTCTGACGCTAACTTAAGTGCTTGATGGAGCAGCCAAGCTTCGTGAGGCACATCTATGCAGCCTTCGAGGTAAAGACAGGAGATCTCATAACCAACTCCTCGTGGGAACAACAAGTAGAGGTACCTTGGAGTGGCTGCTGCATTGGAGGACTGAGCACACATGGGGATGACCAATTTGCAAAGATGTTAATTATGATAACAAAGCATAAAATGTATCCATATTAGGCTTGTAACCTGTGTTACATACATATGCAAGGACTTGCATATGTCAGTAGATAATACCTGCACACACAGATGCATACATGCACAAATACGTACTCATCTGCATCACTGTTTACACATACTTATTTATTTTCTTCTTTATTTAAAAAAAAACAGGACTCCAAATTTAAAGAGACAGGCGTAATAACCCCAGAAGAGGTAAGCTATCTGACAGTAGTGTAAATAACAAGCTAATATGATTTTTGTTTGTGTCTAGTGGCTGGACTAGGGGTTATAGTGCTGAACAAGAGGTTTGAACACTGGTCTCTCATGCAGAAGCTTCCCTGGGTTTTTAACCCTTTAAAAATAAAGTTTGTTTGTTCGTTCCCTGGTAGGGTGAGGATTTGTGTTTTTTTTTTTTCAGTTAGAGGTAAAAGTAAGAATCCTAAGCTGCAGGAGTCATAGCGAGCACACTAGCTATCGTTATCATATTCTATATCCTATTCATTTCGCTGTTGACACATAAGGCATTCACAAGTGATCTCCATGGCTGCCAGTCTGCTGCTTTTCTATGTCAGTTTACATTCCTTCATTTCCCCTTCTATTGTCCCTCTCCCGGTTTCCTTAGGTCGTCCACATCTCCTCTTCCCATCTGCTATTCACCGGAGAGCTGCTTTTGCCACAATGTCACAAGGCATTCTGCAAACAGTCGTTATCAAATACTGTGCTGATAAACATTGGCTGTTGTGTTTGACCAGTCGTTACTAGTTTCTCTGGTCCATTTTTCTCATATGTGAATAACATGAACTGAATACACATAATTGTTAGCTGGCCATGTGTATCTAAATCCTCAGGTTCTTACTCCCTAAAAAATTGGTCACTACAGGTAGCAATCTAAACATTAGCTGAAGTGGGTCTTAAATAGCATCTGGTCCTGAAAGCTGATGTATTTTGACCATGTTAAACATCATTGTGGCCTGGAGAGAACAGCGAATGGACAGTACAGTTTCCAGAAAAAAGTTCAGAGGCAAACCTTTGCTAAAGTCAATACAAGACATTAAAGATGCAATGGCAATAAAAGCACATAGGGCTTGAAAGAGTGCTGGGATGAGAGAGAGCCACAGTATGTAGAAGACCTGCTGATTGACGAATAGACATTAAAGACAGTTTATATCAGAGATGCTATCTGTCTGTGTCTGTCTTTCTCTCTAAGCTTAGAAACTATCAGCAAGGAGGGCTGCGTAGTCTCAAGGTATGGTGTCTGCCTCGAGTGCTAGAGATTCTGGGTTCAGGCGCTGAGCTACTTTGGACTCAGACTTGAGTTAGAAGTAGAATGGAGCCCTTATGAGTTACTACCGGTGTGCTATGATGTTGATCCGTTGCTCAATCCTCAAACTATCAGCGGTGCGGTTCTGATTTTGGAACTTCACTTTGATGAAAACATATTTTAGGATGTAACCAAGCCAGTGGCTTAGAACAGCTCATGCAGACCACTGGGGTTTAGACCAAGCTTGCTAATGTTTCTGGGGAGCCAAAATTAAACAAGCTGCTCCTCCCAGTGTGGGTTCCAGGTATCCATTGTAGGGACAAGAGCAGACCCAAGGCTTTCCCAACAAGCATGTCATAAAAGGTCACCTTGTTTGGCTGCATCCTTCGAAGTTGGAGTGCATCTGCCTGAGAGGCAAGAAACCAGCAGTCTGCATACAAAAAAAGTTAGATATGGGAAAAGGATTTGCTTGCAAGACTCAGCAGGTTCTGGAACAAGACTTAAGTCCAGAGGTGGACAAACAACCAGAACTATCTGTCAGAGCTTACAACTGGTGAGCACTAAGAAGAAGCTAAAATTGGCTGCTCTAAATATGTTCCCCCCCCCCCCCCCCCCCTTTCCCCTCCCCCCTTTCCACAGGTATAGACTTGACTTTATGTTAAACTTGCATCCTTAATTGTTTTCTCCACATCACTGCTATAAACTTTCAGTTTTTTTTTTGTTGAAACAGTTTACTACAACCTAATGAAAGATTACAAAATAAAAATGAACTTCAAATAATTTATTTGTATGCGATGTGTGATGAAAAGAAGTAGAGACGTCGATGAATCAGAGAGAGAGGGTGATATTACTTTATTGCATTGTATTAGAGAAGGACTGTATTAGCTAATTTAAAAAAAAGTAAAGGACCCTTTTCCACGCCTTTAGGCGTATAGGGCTAGACCTATATTTTATAGACCAATCGGCACAAGATGGGTGATGTGGTCAGCATCATGCCGGCCGCCGTTACTTCCCCGAACTGCACCCGGTACCCACTCAAAGCTAGGTCGACCTGGGAGCCAAGGTTTTTTTTTTAAAATGTCCGGCTCTGCCAGGGAGTGAACCCATGACCTTCTGATCTGCTGCGGGCATCTAGCCGTTCTGCCAGGGCGACTTCTGCGTATTAGCTGGAGTACAAGAAAAATAAAAGAAGCATATTTATATTTTTCTCTTTTGAACTGTTTATCAACATTTCGCAGAAGCCTCCCATATTTGTCTTTTTATATTTATTGATTTTTCTTTGGTTTTTTTTTTTTTCTTCTTCAGTTTGTAGCAGCAGGTGATCATTTAGTCCATCACTGTCCAACTTGGCAATGGGCTTCCGGGGACCAGAGCAAGATCAAACCTTATCTTCCAAAAGATAAACAATTTCTGATAACAAGAAATGGTTAGTAATATGTTTCTCTATTCTGTTTTCAAGAAAAGATGTAAAACCAATAGAAAAATATATTTGCAAGCTTCACAATATAAAAAAAAAAATAAAAAACTTGAACGTTGTAGCTATGGAGCCTTCAACAGCACATACATAAGTAAAAAAATACCACATAAATACAAAAAAATCTAATGGCTTAGTATCTCGAAGCGGCCAGGTCAAAGTCTTGTCATTATACTGACGTGACACGTGGGACAGAAGAATACATTTCCCTGTGGAATTCCAGGGGCCATAACTGGAGGGCTTTAGATAAAACAGTGTGGTCAGTTCAGTAGCTGAGGATTTTAGATGAAACTGTTGGCAGTTCAGTCCTCTAGGTGTTAAAGTGCCCAATTCTGTTTTACAAAAGGCTTATGCAGTAAACAAACTATGTTACATCTCCACAGACTCACATGTTAAGCCCCAAACTCTTCCATGGTGCAACTTTTGTACCATTGTCCTAAAACAATGAGAGCAATTTAAAAAAAAAGCATCTTTTCTGAAACTCAGATTCTTTAGGAACATCATATGTCACAGTGGTTTCACCTAACGGTAATGTAGACATGGCTCTTAGAAGATAAGGCAGGTAACCAATAGAAAGAAGGACGTGGTACATTAAAGATCTCCTGGACATACAAATACATGAAACAAGGGAGCTAGTGAAGGATTTCAGATGAAAGTTAAGTGAAAGCAGTGACAAACTACTGAATGTAAAATTTGTCTAGAAAAACCACAGCAGCCAAAAAAAAAATACTGGGGTTGGTTCTGCAATGTTCCATGAAGGAGACGCAACTAACTTTTTTGTAATGAAAGTGACAGTCAGTAAAGCAGGGTTCTTCAGCCTGTTTACATCCTGCTAACCGGCAAAACAGGAGACATTGTTTTACAGCCCACCTGACAGGTGACAACACACAAAAAAAATGGTAACATTTGCATTGTGGAGAAATCAAAAACAGACCCACTGCCTTCCCAGCAAGCATGTCGTAGAAGCCGACAAACTCTGGACTTCCTTTGAAGTCAGACTGCATCCTGCCCGAGCAGCAAGGAACAACCAACTGCACACAAATAAGTCAGTAAAACTGATATACACGCAAAACTCAGGCCCTGGCACAAAGACAGTCCAGGTGGACAAACAACCAGGACTTTTTGCCACAGCTTACAGCCTGTAAACAAAGAAGAAATAACAAAAATAAAAGTAACTAGCAGTTTATTTTAATATCCTGTCACAAAATTACAGTTTTCAGGAAATACATCTGCTGCTGATTAGATGTTAGAAAATCTTATATATTTGCTGCAGCCTTGTTTCAGATAGAAAAAACACTGCATTAACTCCCATTCAGTTTCTGTTTGCTTTGAATTACTAACGTGGCTGAGAAACTCTTTTCATACGAACAGCTAGCCAAACAGGCATGTAGATTTCTCTCAGATACACCCTCAGTTAACCCTTTGGGTTTGGTCATTTTTGTCCCAAAGCTAATTTGAATACATTTTGAGTTGTCAGTGTGATTCATAAAGATTGTGTAAGTTCATTCAGTTTCCTATTCGGATATATATTGTATTAGTTCATTCAGTTTCCTACACTGATATATATAGTGTTAGTTGACATGCAGATTTGTAGAGGTGACCTAACTGATGGTTTGACCTGAGCATATAAAACCGAACGCAAAGAAGAAGATGACTCATAGATAGATTTTCTGTTTTGAGTGTTATCCAAAACTGAGGCATAAAGTCACTACATGATGAGACAGAAATATTTGACGATCACTGGTGGTCCATTGACCGCCGCTTGAAGATCACTGCTATAAAGGGCTTGATGTATGTTGGTGATGAGTTAATTTTATTGCACTTTTTTTGCTTTCTCTTTCATGTCTAGTTCCCTGCTACAAGAGAGTCAAGCAAATGGACACGCACCAGGAGGAACAAGAGAAGATAATAGAAGAAGAAGATGAAGATGGAGGCTGGGTCGATACACATCATTTCTCACGTAAGAGAGATAGATAAAATACAATCAAAAGTTAATCGTCATCTTTATCAGTTTTCAGTTTTGCTGTAAGCTTTGTGGGAAGGAACCGTTTGTGATCTATTGCTCAGTGGGTGGCACTGGCTATTGTCAGTTTGTGTGGATGTAGAATGTATTTAATTTCATCAGTCCATCTTCTTCTTGAGCCCATCTTGTTTTCAAATCAGATTCTTTTGTCTTGTTAGTGGATGGGTAGTTGTTTTGGCTGCATCCTGATGTGGTGACTGAACGATTTGATCTTCTGCTTCTTACTAAATTTCTCACAATGCGTTCTTCCCGCAGTCTCTTGAATAGTATAATTTCTCACTTAGTCTCAGATGGTAAATTGGCAGCTTTCCTCTGGCATCTCATCTCAAAATTGTACATTTTACATATGTTAGCCTTTGATTATAAGAAGAAGATAATAATCCAAGAAAATTAGTACTTTATTGTGAAAATATTCATGAGTATACTTTTAGAAATATTGAATAAATTAGACTGTTAAATTAACAGTTCATTACAGGCTCTGTTTGTTTGTTTCTTTCATACACACACTTTTTTTGAAAACCCATCTCTCCCTTCTCTGTAGATAGGATTATATATATGTAGAGTAAGAGAATACAGCATTTGTTTTCTGTTTATGCATTCAAGCAAGATGTGTTATTTATAAATCCAGTTGGATATTTTTGAATCCGTCTATATTATTTGTAAATCCAGCGGTATATTTTATGAATCCAATTATATTATTTGTGAATTCAGTTACATTATGTAAACATTCAAGGGTATATTTAATGAATTGAGGAATGGTTTTCATGAATCCAATTGCATCATGAAAATGTGTATGAACATGACATTACAATGTGTTCAGTTTTTTGTTTTTAGTTGTAATAAACAAATGCAAGTTTTCTTTGCAAAGGAAGTCTGTGTCTTCATGGTTATGAGTATACTTGTATATCTAAAACTGCTGTTGTATTTACACTTTTTAGCTGACCAGTCTGTGAGTGCACTTCAGGAAGATATGGGAGACATGACTTTAGAAACCAAGGTAATTAAAAAATGTGATCTTTATATCTACTGTAAGCTTTTGCTGAATGAAGAGCAGCAAACTTAATTTTTAAAGCGGGGGAAAATTTAGGAGTGAGGGCACGTCTTACATTTTGGCCCTTCAAAACTCTTCTAACAAATTATGTCTAGGATCTAGGGAAGAGCTAAAGATATACAAGGTGTTTCAAAAAATGTTTGAATATTTTTTATTATTCCATGTTTGGAATTAAGGTAATACAGATTTATAGTTTAAATGAAAAAAGGAATCTGTTTGTGTTACGGTCTTTTCCCCGTGTTGAGTATGCTTACTGTTCTGCTTTAGTCCTTTATGGCACATATTTGTAGGATTTAATGATGTGGATACAATTTTTGGATACCTTGTATTTTAGAGGTGAGTGGTCTAGTCTGAGGTATGGTGTCTGTCTCGAGTGCTGGAGGTCCTAGGTTCAAGCCCCGGTTAAAGCTGGGATTTTTTCACACGTAGACTTCTAGTAATTTCCCCTGGTATCTGGGTAGTAAGATTGGACACCCGTGTGTATTCTTGCGCACGTACAAAAAAAAATCCCTTGGCAGTTGTAAATTGAAAAGAGTAGCCTAACGGCGCTATTGGGGGTAAATTGAGAGTTTAAAGTCTAGCCAAAGTATTTCAGGATCTGCGCCTGTGGGACAGAGTTCATGCACTGTGCTGAGAATCTTCAGACTCAGCTTGATTTATAAGAAGAGTGGAGCACATGTGTTACACCCATGTGCCATGATGTTGATCTGTCAAATAAACATAAACATGAACGTGTTTTCTTTAATATAGGCTGCAAATCAATTAGAAAGTTTCCCCATGTGGGTTCTGGGGCCCCATTGTGGGAAAAACAAGAATAGACCCACTGCCTCCCCAACAAGCATGTGGTTGGAGTTGACTATTTGGAGGCACCCTTCACAGTCAGAGAACATCTGCCTGAGAGGCAAGGAACCAGCCGTCTGCATACAGTTAATTCAGATGTGTCTAACCAGATGTGCTTGCAATACTCAGGTTCTGGAATAAGACTAAAGTCCAGAGGCGGGCAAAATCCCAAAACTTTCTGCCAGAGATTACAGCTGGTGAATGCAAAGAAGAAGAAGAATGAAAAATTTGAATTGGGGCCTGGAGATGTGAATGTACATAAATGTAAGTCAATAAAATACAGAGGTTTTGGGCGATGTGGAAATACAGTGGAACCTGGCTTAACGAGCATAATTCGTTCCAGAATCATATTCGTTAAGCGACACACTCGTTATGTGAAGCAATTTTTCTCATATAAATTAATGTAAAATACGATAATGCGTTCCATGTCGAAAAAAATACTCACAAAATGCTATGTATAAGTTCTATAACATTTATTCAAAGAAAATTATATACATATTTAAGAAGAGTGAATCATCTTCATCTTTTCTTCAAACGCAAAACGAACCCACATGGAATGCGAATTCGATTTGCAGAAAAAAAAGTTGAAATAATTATGATACATACCTAATTATTTTTTTACTAGAAATATGTCCAGAGACATTTGTTTTTGTCGATGCTTCAGAATTTGGCGAAAATGCCACACAGCATTATTATTAAATTTGCAGCACGCATAGCCACTTCCTTATTATGGTGATGCTTCTCAATGTGAAAAGCAACAGTTTCCTATGCTTTCAGCATTTTTCTTATTTCGCTAGAAGATTGTTGCTTTTCTGTTACCTTCTCCTCCTCTTCCTCTGACAAACTTTCCTCCAAAACTTCTTGCTGTGAAACACAATGCAACTCCATAAGCTCTTCGATGGTCAGCTCTTGGCTGTGCTCTTCCACAAGCTCTTGGATATCACTGTTATCCACCTCTAATCCCATGATAGTGGCCAAAGAGTCACAAATCGACAACACCTGCCAAAGCTTCCTCCAAGAAGAAGATAGGGTTCTCTTGGTAACTCCTTCCCCTGCCTTGTCGGTCATCTTGAGGCAGGCAACGATGTGGAAGAGATTTTTCCAAAACTCTTTGAGAGTGAGGTTGGTCCCTTCAGTCACCTGAAAACAATGCTCGAAGAGTTCTTTAGTGTAGAGCTTCTTAAAGTTAGAAATAACTTGCTGGTCCATTGGCTGGAGTAACGGAGCGGTGTTTGGGGGCAGAAACTGGATCTTGATTAACTTAATTTAATCAGTGAAGTCATCTTGTAGGCCTGGAGGATTTATGTAAATATATCACAAAATAATACAAGTTTGAGAAAATGTTTGATCACAGGCGACAATGCTACTGGAACGAGTGCTAAACACAGACTGATGTAACATGCACAAAATCCGGGACCTCCCCTCTCCTTGCCACTCGTTATGTGAAACGTCGCTCGTTAAGCGAGTCATTCTTTTACAATTTGTTTGCTCGTTATGTGAATTACTCGTTATGAGAGGTGCTTGTTAAGCGAGGTTCTACTGTACTAAAGCAATGACACCTGTGTTGGTCGGGACCTGTCTCTGGCATGGAAGACATATGCACTCCAAAGGGGCTCCAAGAGGCCTTCTGAGGCCCCAGAATCTATGTAGATGGTGTGTAATTAGATTTAAACTGATGTTGCTGTTTGGTGGTGTTAATTTTTGTTAATGCTTATGATTTTTTTTTTCTCAAACAGCAGGATGGGAAAGGTGCCACAGCTAGTGCCATTGCTAAAAATGATGATGACGACGATGATGCCGATGATGATGATGATGACGAAGCCGAAGACATGGATGCATTTGAGAAGAGCGGAATGCTAGAGGAGCAAGATAATGTAATACTGGGTTGTTGTGATTTATTTTACTGCAAATGTAAAAGTCGAGAAGACCGACTTTATAACCTTGGTTTATCCTATATGATAGGGTCTCTCTCTGTGTAACAGCTGCTACATACTGGGTGCATCACACTAAACATAACATCATCCCCCCCCTTCCATTGATCACTGTAAAAATTGCACTTGTGAACTGAATGTCATGTCCTTGAACTGAGCCCACCTTCAGAGCTAGAGGGAAAAGGCCTTACCGCTTTACCTTGGGGACCACCTGTCAATGTTAAATCACACGTGTGTCATTTATTGCCATGTCTCCATTAGTCTTCCCTGTGAGCATAGGGATATAACTGCTGAAAGATATTTCTAGAAGAAAAAGACAACTATCATAATGCCTTTTGTCTTCCTGTAGTGATCTGTGGTAGTCTAAGATGAAGTTGTTACCCATTATTCCACATCTAGAGATGTGAACTACAAAATAATGATCAAATGATGTATGCTGCTGAAACCTGGACATTGAACAAGCAATTAGAAAACCATATTGAATCTCTGGAGTTGTGGATTAATGGCACCTAGTGATTGATTCTGTTTCTTCTTCCTGCTCATTTTCAAAATTTCTACCTCTCTCGCTATCCCTTTGTCTCACTCACTGTCAATCTTAGACATTGTCTTTCACTTTTCTCTTTGTCTCTCACTGTCAATCTTAGACATTATCTTTCACTTTTCTCTTTGTCTCTCACTGTCAATCTTAGACATTGTCTTTCATTTTTCTCTTTGTCTCTCACTGTCAATCTTAGACATTGTCTTTCACTTTTCTCTTTGTCTCCTCTGTCATTCTTAGACATTATCTTTCATTTTTCTCTTTGTCTCCTCTGTCATTCTTAGACATTATCTTTCATTTTTCTCTTTGTCTCCTCTGTCATTCTTAGACATTATCTTTCATTTTTCTCTTTGTCTCTCACTGTCAATCTCAGACATTGTCTTTCACTTTTCTCTTTGTCTCCTGTCATTCTTAGACATTATCTTTCATTTTTCTCTTTGTCTCTCACTGTCAATCTCAGACATTGTCTTTCACTTTTCTCTTTGTCTCCTGTCATTCTTAGACATTATCTTTCATTTTTCTCTTTGTCTCTCACTGTCAATCTCAGACATTGTCTTTCACTTTTCTCTTTGTCTCCTGTCATTCTTAGACATTATCTTTCATTTTTCTCTTTGTCACCCGTCATTCTTAGACATTGTCTTTCACTTTTCTCTTTGTCTCCTGTCATTCTTAGACATTATCTTTCATTTTTCTCTTTGTCTCCTCTGTCATTCTTAGACACTGTTTTTCACTTTTCTCTTTGTCTCCTCTGTCATTCTTAGACATTGTCTTTCATTTTTCTCTTAGTCTCTCTCTCTTTCATTCTTAGACATTATCTTTCACTTTTCTCTTTCTCGCTCTAAATTAACTAAATTGTACAGATTGGGTCAAGATCATTTATGGTACTAAGAAATTGATCATTTTCTTGCAGACAAAATTCCCTGCTGCTCCTTGAAATTGAAAGAAGAAGAAGCAGAAGAATTATTTCTCTTTAAATCAACATTTTCTTCATATCTTTTTTGAAGAAAATGCATTTTCTTTTTCTCTGCTGCCCTCTGTCCCCACACTGGAGTACAAGCCATCAACCAACTCAAGCCAAGTCATCCTATTGTTTGCTAAAATATACAGCTTACTCAATATCTTCCCCATCTTTTGCTTTCATTGTCTAGCTCTGTTGTCCATGTACTTTGAAGTATACCTTCTAGGTTTTAGTGTAAAGATATTGTAGTTATAGTGTTCCCAGTTTGTTTTGTTGAGTGTACATCATTGTATTGACACCCAAAGAGCACTATTTAATGCAGTAGTGTTACTAACATTGTGTTAGCAATTCCAAACATGGTCATTAACAATAATAACAGAACAAAGTGAAACCACAGAAATGAAATCCCTACTACGAAACCTAAATGTAGAAGAAACTAGGAGAAACAGGATTAGAAGTGACAATATCAGGACAGAAATTGTGACGGAACCAGTTCTAAACCACATCAAAAGACAACAGATGAAATGGTTTGGACATGTCTCAAGACTACCACCAGATAGTGTACATCAGAGAGCCCAGTCACTTGGACATAGTAGAAGCAGATCCAGAGGTTGATCAGGTCGGCGATGGATAGATGGAATATCCAAAGCTGCAAATACCAGCATCTATGTGGCACAGACCAAGGCTTGCACCAGATGCTTCTGCAAAACCTGAAACTGAAAGATAGAGCAGAACTAGAGAAGAAGAAGTGTGTGACTTCAGCATGTATTTGTGAAGGGTTTACCTTCTGTAGACAAATTCAATCCAAGGTAACAATTGTCATCTACCTGCAGGCAAGTCTCTGTCCTCAGAATTTTGGCATCACATTGGCTTTGTGCCCTGCTCTTTGCCATTTCCAACTGCCATAGGAGTTTCACATGTAATTGCTTGCATATACTCTTGTTTTTTTCCCCCCTTATCCGTTTAGGTTTTCTTTTTAATATGTCTCCTGAAGAGATAGCGAGATATGTAGTAAAATTATTATTGAAGATTATAATATAAAATCACAGCTGGATTCAATCCTAGTAACTTCTGAGCTTAAGATGGTGAGTTCCACTTCCCTTTGCTTGATCTGTCGGAGATTCACAGCTTTTATCGTTTCTTCCTTAGGCTACTCTCACCATCCCAAGACAGGCGGAACAAGCATCCGATGCCTCGGCAGCCGGAGACAGTGGCATTATCCAGACACGAACATATGACCTTAATATCACCTACGACAAATACTACCAGACCCCACGCCTGTGGCTCTTTGGATATGATGAGGTTAGCTTGTAAATTTTCCTTTCTGAATTTTGAGGTTGCCAAACAATTCATCAAGTCGATGAAGAAAGTAGCTAGTCACTTTATATCATATTTAGTTACTTTTTGACTGCGCTAGAATAATCTCATGGTTGACTTGCCCTGTAGGACATGCAATTATTAACTTTTTCAATACCTGGTCATTGTTACCTTACCTCGTTCTGTATATTGTTGCCGAAGCTGCGGAGTTCATGCTTTGCGTTACGCTGTCAGCATGCAGCTTGCCTTACTGTGGAGCAGACTAAGCCATGAGCGATATACCTGGTGAAGTGAAGCTGGTTGTTTCGACTGTAGCTTTATCTGAATCCGTTGTTACTTTGAACTTATTCATTTTGGGTCTAAAAGTCAATTGCATATCCTTTACAGGATGTTATAAAACCAGCCCCAGTTTGTTTTAGCTGTTCGGTTTTAATTGGCAGTTTTACATTCAGTAGTTTGCTATCATTTCCTAAATGGTCAACTCTTGATACCCTTATCAAAATCAAACAGAGCGGTCTGCTGCTAAATCACCCACAGCTGGAATCGAACTAGGTATCTCGGAGATAAAAACCATGTTAACAATCCTTAAACCACAGACGCCAACTTTGGTCTCAAAGATTTAAAATAATAACTTTATTGAATAGAAAAAAAAAAGAGTTAAAATGCAAAGGTTTTAAACAACCATCAGAATATATTATCCGGGAACAAAATTCACAGAAGGTGGCAAAATGGATGAAGGAAAAAACAAAACATTCGATGCAGTAAAGCAAATCTGCTAGCCTTTCACCCCCTGCAATATAAGACAGTGTTGACCAGCACGAAGAAACATTGAATATCTGCATCTTTATCACCATCCTATGCTACCAGCACCGAGCTTGGTCACGGAAGCAACGCAGAAAACAACAATGAGATGCCTGAGAAAAGTTACATGACTGACCAGAAGAGATAAAACCACACTATAGCCCAGTTTTTTGGTTTTTCTGTACTTGCTTTACACTTCTGGAATGGCAGTAGTGATGATTTCATTTCTTTTTTGCAGGATTCAGCTATGCGATACATTCATTTCCTCCTTCACCTTCCACCCAAATGTTCTCATGCCTCCTATTCAGTTTGGTCTGGCTGCATTCTTACTAGATGACCAAAGCACTTCATTCTCTGTCTTTCAATGTCACTTAAGCACAGTCTTTCTCCAGCCTTCTCTCTCATGCAGCCTTCTCTCTAATGCAGCCTTCTCTCTCATCCAGCCTTCTCTCTCATCCAGCCTTCTCTTTCATGCAGCCTTCTAATGCAGCCTTCTATCTAATGCAGCCTTCTCTCTCATGCAGCCTTCTCTCTCTTGCAGCCTTCTCTCTCTTGCAGCCTTCTCTCTTGATTATGCAATCTTTTCTTGGTGACCTTGCAAAGACAGATGATTCTGCAAGTGATTATTTTCTCTTTCAACGATCTACTTATCTGGAAGATCTCATAAAGCAGATATCAGACACATACAGTTAAAAACAGCTTATCATATAGTGAATTATTAAAAAAGCTATTGTGAACTGTTTCGTATTGGTGCCAGTCAAAATTGTATTGTTTACCCCAAATCCCATATAGAAGTTGAATAAACCTTTAAGACATTCTACCCATACTCTCATACAGAATAGGAAACCGTTAAGTGTTGAGCAGATGTACGAGGACTTCAGTCAGGACCATGCCAAGAAGACTGTCACCATGGAAGCTCACCCACACTTACCAGGACCCCCGATGGCTTCAGTGCATCCTTGCAGGCAAGTTTGACTCTCTCCTTCACTTCGATGCTGTCTCCACCAGTGTTTGCATTTTTTAGGGCTGTTGTCTCTATCAGTACGTAATTTCTTAATGTTTGTCCTTGTTACTTTAAAAAAATTAATTGTTTTTGTAAATGCGAAAAGAAATTAGAAAAAACACTAGGACTAAAGCAAGTCATAATTGCTCCTTGATTTAGCCATTTGACAAGGTTACCCTGTTGTCATCTAATAGAGTTGCATTGAAGAATGGCAATGAGTGGAGAGCAAGAGGAAGACCACACACGAAATGGAGCCACACAATAAAGATCAGCCTTGTTCTTCACCCATCATCTTCTTCTCCATCTCCTCCTCTTGAGTTTCTCAGCTGTGACCTCCAGTGAACAATCTTGTTTGATTGTCTGTTGGTCTTTTTCTAGGTTTTTAGTATTTTGCTTGCATAGCTGTTTTACATATATTCAATACAGTCTGTTGGTTCCTCACCTTTCAGGCAGATGCCTTTCTTATTTAGCAGGGTCCCCAGTCAGGAACCCATTTCTAGGAGAGAATCAAAGAGTTTAAGTACTTTGCTTTTATTTGAGAAAGCAGTTACCAGTTCTATTGAAAGCCTCATGGGGATGAACAGTTTGCGATCCATTGCTTGATGGGCAACAATGGCTATTATCATTCCATGTCAATATAGAAGCTTTTTAATGTCATCAGTCCTTATTCTCCTAGAGAAACCTCTTGATTTCACTTCAGATCTTTTCTTGTGTAGCGCCTGTTTTAGTAGTTGTTTTGGCTGCATTCTTGCTAGCAGTGAATCTGCTGCAGGATGTTGTTCCCACAGTGTGTCAGAATATGTCATTTCTAACTTTGTCTTGGATGGTTATGTTGGTGGCTTTGTCTTGGATGGTTATGTTGGTGGCTTTGTCTTGGATGGTTATGTTGGTGGCTTTGTCTTGGATGGTTATGTTGGTGGCTTTGTCTTGGATGGTTATGTTGGTGGCTTTGTCTTGGATGGTTATGTTGGTGGCTTTGTCTTGGATGGTTATGTTGGTGGCTTTGTCTTGGATGGTTACGCTAGTGGCTTTGTCTTGGATGGTAATGTTGGTGGCTTTGTCTTGGATGGTTATGTTGGTGGCTTTGTCTTGGATGGTTACGCTAGTGGCTTTTCTCAGGCCAATTACTGCCTTTATTATACCGCTCTTGTGGTGTACGCAGTGGGTTCTTTGAGCCTGAGGATTTACGGCCGCATGGCTGGTGCTGTTGCCACGACTGCAGGTGAGCATTTCATTTTGCCCATTTTCTCAGGCATCTCATTCACTTTATGAATGTCCAATGTTGTCGTGAAATGTTTTCATATCAGAAATGTCACAATCATTTCACTTTATTTGCTTGTTTTTTAAAGCCTGATTGTTAAAATTTCTTTATTTTCTGTTACTGTTACCATTTCTTTATTGTCTGTTACTGTTAAAATTGTGTATTGTCTGTAACTGTTAACAGTGCTTTTTTTTCTGTTCCTGTTAACGAGTTAACGTTTCTTTGTTTTCTGTTCCTGTTAACATTTCTTTATTTTCTGTTAGTGTTAATATTTCTTTATTTTTTTTACTGTTTAAAAAAAATATTTCTTTTTGTTATTGTTACCATTTCTGTTTTTTTCTGTGCAGACACGCTGATGTGATGAAAAAGATTATCCAGACGGTAGCAGAAGGTGGTAATGAGCTGGGAGTACATATGTATCCTTATCAAAAATATATTGTGTGAAAATTATGTCACATGTTGCTGTCTTTTGTCATTTTTCCCTGTTCCCCCGAACATAATCCTTAGCGTGATTTTCAGGATGCCTGTAATATACGCCTTACCCCAGATATAAGCCCTAAATAAGATAATCAACTAGGCACATGGATTTCATTAGTGCATTGAAATAATGTGACGGACGTATTAAATCATAAAGTAATAAATGTAAATAACTGTAAATACATAATGTTAGACCCTAAGTAAAGTGAAGTAAATGATAATATAAATGTAGATTTGTGTACATGAAAACACTGAGACATCCCATGAAAATAAGCCCTGATGTTTCTTTTGGAGTCAATATCCAAGTCTGACACTGGTAACCTAACTCTTCGCTTGCTGCTGAAGATGGGGGCTAATCACTTATGAGAGTGTCCCGAGTGCTGTGATGTCGATTCTCAATTCAACATTGAACTGGTTATCTAAAGTTACAATGAAGATATGAAGATTGCATTTATAATTTAAAAAACAAAATCACTGTTGGGATAAGCCGGTAGTAGCAAGATTGCTGTATGCTGATACGTAATGCTTTTGCCTTGCTTGATTCTTTTTTACATCTCTCAGTCATTGTCTTTCCTTTTATGGAAATTATCCTGTACTCATGTTTATGAGACTGCTTCAACCTGCGAGCTAGGCTGGGTTGACCTGAGAGCTAGGCTGGATCAACCTGAGAGCTAGGCTGGGTCCACCTGAGAGCTAGGCTGGGTCCACCTGAGAGCTAGGCTGGATCAACCTTAAAGCTAGGCTTGGTTGACCTGAGAGATTGGCTGGGTTGACATGAGAGATTGGCTGGGTCAACCTGAGAACTAGGCTCGGTCGACTGAGAACTAGGCTAGGTCGACCTGAGAGTTAGGCTGGGTCGACCTGAAAGCTAGGCTGGGTCGACCTGAGAGCTAGGCTGAGTCCACATGAGAGCTAGGCTGGTCGACCTGAGAGCTAGGCTGGGTCGATATGAGAGCTAGGCTGGGTTTACCGGAGAGCTAGGCTGGGTCGACCTGAGAGCTAGGCTGGGTCGATCTGAGAGCTAGGCTGGGTCGACCTGAGAGCTAGGCTGGGTCAATCTGAGAGCTAGGCTGGGTTGACCTGAGAGCTAGACTGGGTCAACCTGAGAGCTATACTGATCAGAAAAATACTCCCACTGCTCCCTGTATTTGTTGCAGGGCCCCATTTTGAACTCATTTTTTTAAATGAAAAGGCAGCAGCTGAGTGTCTTGTTCAGCTTTTTGGGCAGTGTCCATATTTGGCACCGGTAGCAGGATGTTGGTATGAATAGGCCACATATATCTTATTTTTCACTGCTTGACTTTTGTATTGTTAGTCTGTTTGTTGGTGTGGTAAAACTTTTCACCACCTGCTGTGAAAGTGTTTTCTTTTGGACTGCATTGCTTGGTTTACAGGCACAGTATTTTCACAGGTGCGTGGGCATCGCTGAAGCAACTGAGATCATGCCTTTTTTCCCTTTAATAACTATTATTAACAGCGCTGCCTTTGCATCTCTTATCTGCTCCTGTAACATAACTGTGATAATAAATTACCATGCTGTAATTTTACTTCACATAGAAAGGTGAATTAAAAAAATTGATAAAATTTGTTTCAGTTTGTTAATAAGGAAGCGTTAGCCTGAGAGTTTGATTTGTCACAGATTGTGTCCCTTAACTTGATTTGCCAGGTATTTATTGATATTTCTCAAGTTTGTCCAGGCTATTATCCCTACGATAGAGTACGACTACACCAGACATTTCATCATGTGACCTCAACATTCCAGAACTGTTCGCACTGTGAATCGCATTCAGCAAAGTTAGTCTTCACACGGTGAGATGGATTCACAATAGACCGAGATTACATTATCGTATTTGTGATGATTATTGTAGACTTTTTTTTATTGGAGGGGGGGGGGGGGGGGGGGGGGGGGGTGCAAGACGGAATCAATGCCTTTTCATAATTTTTTTTCTTTTGATGGATTAATTAGACAGGGAATATTTTGTTAAGAATTTAGTTTAACTTTTATTGTGCACATGAAACTTAACTTTTCACGGGCTTCATTTAAAACTGCTTTAATTTTTTATTTCCTCATTTATGTTTAATAAAATACAACCTCATAAAGATGAAATTGGTACGTCTCTAAATTCACGTTGCCCACCCTCACAGGACTGCAGGGTACCTCAGGGAGTATGTGGTGTAGACATTACGGGAGCTCTAATTATACTTTCCCTGGTGGTTGAACAGGTTACAAGGAACTGTCTCTGTTTGATTGGTATCCAGGATGCGATTTGCCTGAGTGTCCGACTTTCTGAAGGCAGCCATAATAGGAAAAACAGCCAGTCAGATTATATAGGGAAAAGTATATAATCAACATGTGTTGGAAGTTCTGTTTCATATACAGGAGTATAATTAACATGTGAGGGAAGTTGTGTTTAAATCTGTAAAATATTCCACAGCAGTTTGAGAAATCTTTGGATGATCTTCCATGTCTATAGGTATTAGTGACCTTGAAAAAGTGAGTTCAGTGATTTATGTAAATGAGTGCATGACCATTCATATAGTGGGAATCGGTATAAGTCTGTCCAAATGGTTTTAAAATGTAAACATAACATGCAAAATTTGTGCCACGGTCTTCTTACAGAAACAGAACAAAATAATAGTTGTCTTAAAAAATAATAGTGGTACTAATTGTGACATTGTGTATGACTCAAACAGCTGTTCTCATACATCTTTTATAAGTACATTAAACCCCTGTTAACACAAATTTGTTTAAGAATAACATTTGGTTAAGATGAACAAAATGTTGGTCCCTGCAGTGATGTCTATATATTAGTCCTGGGTTAACATACATTTATTAAACAATTTTCAGATACATTTTTACCTGATTTGAAACAAAACTTCGCACATGTATATTGTGTTTCAAGATCCTTCATCGCTGAATATTAAAAAAAAATACCAGTGCGCATTCTGTTTGCCATGACTTGACAAGAATGATTTAGTGACTATCATTGGGCTGTGATCTCATTATTAGTATATGAAAGATAATATTACTATTACACATACTTGAAAAAAGTAGCTCATTGACCCATTAATTTGTGGTACTGTTTAGAGAATGGTTTGTTTTTTAACTGTCTTTGTATGTTTCATCCTCAAATACACAGGCATATTTTCTTTTTCTTGTGATTACATAGCTAATTTACACTGGCATGTTACTTCTTATTATCACATAAACTGTTTTTTTCAAAGTTCCTATTTAGTTTCATAACAGTTTTAAGTATGGTGTTGACTTGGTAACCAGTACTGATAGTAAATTCACTCATAATAGTTAGATCCGCATGGTACTTTAAAAACAATTTAAAAAAAAATATGCCTTCTGTCCCAGTATTGCCAAATTCAGGATCTCTTTAGGAAGACAGTTGGCTCAGCTCTTAAGGGAGACAGTTGGCTCAGTTCTCTTTAGGGAGACAGTTGGCCCAACTCTTTAGGGAGACAGCTTAACTCTTTAGGGAGACAGTTGGCTCAACTCTTTAGGGAGACAGTTGGCTCAACTCTTTAGGGAGACAGTTGGCTCAACTCTTTAGGGAGACAGTTGGCTCTACTCTTTAGGCAGACAGTTGGCTCTACTCTTTAGGCAGACAGTTGGCTCAACTCTTTAGGCAGACAGTTGGCTCAACTCTTTAAGGAGACAGTTGGCTCAACTCTTTAGGGAGACAGTTGGCTCAACTCTTCACAACTACCTTATTAACTGTCCTATCCACTCTCCATCTAGAGGCTGAAAATTACAACTTTCCACTGGATTACATTGGAGAACATGGAGAACTGTGTGAAGTTGAGGCAGGCTTGAACAAATCAGGCTAAGAGACATTAAAATAAACATATGATGTGCAAGCCAAATGTAGTAAATTCCTGTGCCTTTGGGGGACAAATTGCTGCCACATGGGGTCATTTAATGTTTTAATAGTTAAAGATTAGAAACTTTAAATTGGAAGGGTACAGGTTCTGATCGTATCTCTAGCAATTTAAAATGAATATTTTCAGCAGTACTTTGAGTCAGGTTTTCATTCTAACTGGCAGAAAATTGAATGTGGAAAAGCTGTGTTTAATTATCTCTCACTGAATCCTGCTTCTTATTTTTCCATTCACTGGTTGTTAACTCTGGTGGAGAGCCCTGATTGTGCCTGGAAATAATCTTGTTTCAGGATTTGAGGCTTGTACTCACATCCGTTTTCACCTCTGGCTTATTATGTGTAGACTGTTGGTTTCTTGCTTCTCAGGCAGACTTGATTTGACTTTAAAGGAAACATCGATTCTATCTACATTGGCAGGTCACAGGGTGGTAACCTGTTTCTTCGATGACCACACACAGATGTAGATATATTTTGGTCAGTGTGAGCCCTTTTCTGGGCTCTTGATGTGCCTCCCATTTAAGATAAAAATTGATTGCGACAGTGTGTTGCTTTTGGTTGATTAAGAAGACTAGTATCTTTGGTACTCATTATCAAGTGCCTTGCCAGCTGGCATAGGCGTCCATGTGTCGCCACAGATCTCAGTCTTTGGTGTTCTGGATCAATTCTACTGATAATATTCCTTCATTCAACTGTCTTAAGCCATCCATCATCAGTTCTCTTGGTCTGCCTCTGCCTCTTCAACCACTGATCTTTCCAGTTGTCACGATATTTTCCAGTGCTCCATTTCTCATCACATGACCAAAGAACCTTGTTTTGTCTCCTTCTCATTGTTGTATATAATGTTCTACTTTCATTAGCCATTTCCAGGCAATCATTGTTAGATGTTCTGGCAAAGTATTTGCAACATGGTTTTCAAGAACCAAGAATTTTTAGTACTGCAGAGGGGAAATTTGCAGAGACTTGAATTATTACACACATCAGGACAGGATAACCATCATACTTTGATGAAATTTTGAAACAGTTGGACCTGGCAATTTTTAAAAAAATATTATTTTTTATATTTTTAAATGGAACATTTGACATTATTATCAGAAAGAAAGACAAAATGCTGGATGGGATGGCAAAATATATTGGAGGGGAAATTTTCTTTAGTTCTCAAAAACTCAAAAATGGTTGAAGAGAAACATCATCTGCCCTTCCCAGCACGGGACATGACAAAGGTGATAAGAGATAACTGTGCTGTGAAAAAAATCTCAGAAATCAAAAGAAATTCCACAGAAGTATTTATTGGCAGAAGTGCCTTAGAAATAGAGATAGAAAAAAAAATAACTTAGAAACAGAAACAGACCCAAAAAAAAAATATACTCAGAAACAGCAGATTGTCACTACTAATATATGATGAAATAATGTTTAGTCTTCTTGAGCCCTTCTTATTCTTCCTCAGTCTTTATCTTTCAAAGGGTGGTTGGCATGTAATGTTATGGTTTACAGCTAGGCTATGATATCGCCACCTTTAAATCCAACACATCTGTTTTTAGCAACTACTTCATCAGTCACCTTTCATGACATGCTTGTTAATGACAAGTAAGTAAGTTCCAGAAAAAAAAAACTTTTTATTTGATACTTTGGTACATTAAACAGATTTCATCAACCAACTCACGCCAAAATCTAGCCAGTTTCTTGCATGTTTGTGCCAAACTCTTGCAAGTTCCTAGCAGGATTGCGCCAAACTGTAGCCAGTTCCTAGCATATCTGTGCCAAACTTGAGCCAGTTTCTGCATGCTATCCCTCCTTATTCTTCTCTCCCTAATTATTTTTGTTTCAGATTCTCTTATCTGTGTGTTTTTAGTTCTCCCTCCTTTTCATTTGCCCTGTGCTTTTCAGGGCATTCTACTTTTAAGATCATTCTACTTGTACTATAAACTATTTTTCTCAATGTATGTCCATTCAGAAATGTCTGCTGTTAATAATGGTATCAAGAAACACCTTAATGCAATGGTTCTCAACCTTCCAAATGTGGCGACCCTTGAATACAGTTCCTCATGTTCTGGCAACCCCCCCAGCCATAAAATTTATTTTTGTGGCTACTTCATAACTTTAAAAAATATTTGTTTTCCTATGGTCTTTGGCAACCCCTGTGAAATGGTCGTTCAACTCAACAAAAAAAAAAAAAAAAAAGGGTTGCCACCCACAAGTTGAGAACTGCTGCCTCTATGGGTCTGTGTTATGATTTAAGAATCACTGAGGAAAGTTTGTATCAATGTTTGTAATTATATGTGACCCAAGGGTACAAGATATCTGGGTGTCAAGTGGGTAAAGGACACAAGTCTACGCCTTCTTGTATATTGGGCTTATGGGGCTAGACCTATATTTAATAGACCAGTCGACACTCAGTGGGCGATGTGATCAACATCATGCCGGCCATCTTCACTTCCCAGGACTGTACCTGGTGCCCATTTAAGGTTGGATCAACCTGGGAGCCAAAGTCATTTTTGAAAACAAAAAAAATCTGGCACTGCCAGGACCTGAATCTACGACCTTCCAATCCACAAGCGAGTGTCTAGATTCTACACTGGGGCGCATCCCGATATCTGTGTTTTCTTTTTTTTTCTTTCTTAAACTATCTTATATCAGTTGTTGTCCTAACAATAACCTTAACCCCAGACTGTTTTATTAAGTAATATTTCAAAATGTTGGTTTCCAGGTACTCAGTTTTATGCATTTTCTTTATTTTTGTTTTTTAAGTCCCATATTTAAATATTATTTTTGTTTGTTTAATCTCCAGTTTTGTCTTTGTGTCTTATGAAAGATGGTATTAATTTGTTGCTTGATGATTGTGGCGTCCTGAAACAGATGGTTAG